CCAGCCCCTTTTTGTATTTATTTTGAGACAGGGTCTCACTAAGTTGCAAAGGGTCTTGCTGGCTTTGAACTTGAGATCCCCCTGCTTCAGCCTCCTGAGCTGTTTGTTTTACAGGTGTGCGTCGCCGTGCCTGGCTTACAGTGTATCGTTTCAATACATCCTCAATGTGTAGTGATCAGACTCCGGCAACTGGCAGATCTATCACCTTGGATTATACGTCATTCATATGTGTTGGGACTATTCTAAATCATCCCTCCTAGTTATTTGGACATCTCCAATGACTTGTGGTCAACTCTAGTTATCCTACTATAACACAGAACGTGGGAAGTGATTCCTCCCACCCTGGTTGACTTAAAGTGGGGGGCCATGTGATTCACAGTGTAAGGAAAATGGAGTGTAGCAGAGCCCATATGGAAACAGGCCGAGAGATAGGAGGAGCCCAGGTGACAGGATGAGTGGCGATGCCAGTGGTCCATGAACTGATAAGAGGTGGCAGAGCTTGGGAAACTTTATTGATCCTAGAGGTGATGTCAGGCTGATGGAGGGGATGTGTGGCCACACAACCCACAGATCAAGTCCAGGTCCAATTTGCTCAGAGGTGAGGGGGGGCCTGAGAAATAAAGCTGTCATCAGGGATGGGAAAGACATTGTTGATGATGAGTCCCCTTGGAACCTACCAGGTGAGCAACCCGAAGCCCACAGGGGAGCCGAGCTGCAGTGGAGACTTGGGAAGCTCCAACAGGGAGATGGAGATTTTGCTTACCGCGAGGTTCCTGGGCTGAGAATGAGATGATCCCTTTTATGTGCATGAGTCAGGCTTGTTGTTGTGCCTTTCTGACACCCATCTCCCAACGACTCAGTGGATTTCTGGGTTGCTGCTGGGCAAACCCTCCCACGGCAGCATCTCCTGAGTCAGCGGGGAGGTTAGGAGGCTTCCCACTCCAAGGCCACTCCAGGTTTTTGAAGCCTGTTACAGTGCTTCATCCTTCCCGCAAGCAGGATGTAGAAACCTTTCAAGTTTGTCATCCTAATAAATTTAGTGCCTTTGAGTAAAAACATTTGGTCTTTATTTCCTGAATTGCATGATCTTTTTTAACTTGCTGGTGAATTCCTTTATATAATGGAAAGAAAGCATGTCTGGTATCCGGCTGTCATTGACATCCATCTCTCTATTGCAGAACGACCACTTTGCTCTTGGCCAGGCATGCAAGGAAAGAATCTTGGGCTTTGGTTAAAAGGGTGGACTTTGGATTTTTTTTCCCCCCTTTGCATCAGAACATGTTTTTCCAGTTTTGCAGATATAGTCAAGTCTGATAAGACTCTGGCCACCTTATTATCTTGCACTGAAAATTACCCTCAAGTTGGATTCCTTTAAAATGGAAGTAGTGGTGTTTTCTACTTGAGGACAGCTTATCTTCACCATAGCTGTAGGTGTGTAACTCTTTTACCCTGTCTCATGTGGACTTATAGGAACTCTTTGCAACCTGTGTTCTGTCACATGACACATGGAATCTTTTTGCAAGTTGTTGCTTAGCAGCTTCTGCTGGCTGGAACCCTCTGTTTTCATTTTAGTTCTTACATAT